CTTCTTCAGAACTACGCTGCATGTCTCTTTATTGTAGGAAGGCTCTTATAATATTTTTGCCTGCCAAACTGAATAACCTATGTTAAGCCAAAGAGGATAAAAAGTAATCTGTTAATTAATCATGGTGATAATAGCACTGTTGGAGCTGTTACACTAAGGACCATCTAGCATTTTCATTATAAAACTTCCTTTCCAGAGATTTATAACTTGCTATGACTATTTAATATTGATATGACACTAGCACCCTGAAGCCCAAATCAAGACCCATTGTGCTAGGCACTGTACATCCAAAAAAATTGTCCTTGATTCAGAGTTTACTTTTTAACAAGAATAATGACCAAGGAAGGGTAGGATAGGTAACTTAAAACTGGTGTATGGTCATATCATCCCTTGTGGTGAGAAATCTGGGAGACGGTGGTGACAGAGAGCCCAGGAAAGGCTGAGAATTTAGCTTCAGAGTTAACCTTGCCACTACTAACAACCCTACACATGAGCATTCAAAAATCATGGGTCAGGCCCCAAGAAATCATGAGATTTGCAAAAACACAATTTGGTTGGGGTTTTTTTGTGTTTGTTTTTTTGCCGTCTGGTTTTTAAGCCTTAGCTTGCACTCGGGTCCCATTTTTGAGCTTTTCTTCACAACCTGGGCCTAGAAACTTCTTTTTTTCCCTCCCTTTTTAATGAAATCTGAGACTCACATGATTCCAGGAGCTGGGACTTTAAGAAAAACACCAAATATCCTGAGACTATTGATAAAACCATGAGAGTTGCCAACAGTGCCTCCCAGATTTTCCAGCTAGGTCTCCCCTTGGGACTAAGATTTGGGAAGGCAAAGGGTGTGGCCTTTAATCCTCACAGATCCTGAGAATCCACAAAAAAAGGGAAGTTCCAGTCCTGCTGCTCTCTTGGGTCCTTCCCCATCAGCATAGCTTTTCCAATTATAATCCCATTGGCCACATATTCCATACCTGTGCTAGGAACCTCTTTCTGAGGCAGGCACAGTCGAGAGCATAATTTGATGCAGTACTAATAAAGGTGTGAGTATCAATTCACTCAGATATGCACTGCCCCGATAAAGACACATCTTTATATGAAAACATAATGGGCCAATTCCTGTTCTTGCTGACATCACTGGGAGTTTGCCATTGAATTGAAGGGCAGCAGAAATGAGCTCAAGGTCTAAGCAGGAAAATTCTCTCCCTGGCTTCAGGTGTATGCTGGGCTGTCATTGACTTCATTAGAAGGCGCCTACACCCATATCTGACAGCAGAATTTGGCCTAAAAACATTTATAACTCTCCAGTACAAGACGTTTCATAGTGATTGGTGCCAGTACATGTACAGTAGGGACATATGTCCAACTACAGCCTCTAAATCTGTGCCTGTGATTGCTATTTTATATGCACATAATAGATGGTGCCTATATAAATAGCACAGAATCTGTGTGTACAAATGATATTTTCACTTGCAAATGAGCTAGCTAGATGCCATTTGTGCACATAAATTATATTTTGTGGGAGGCATAAATGATTTACAGGTGCAGAAATGAGCAGCCAAGCCAAGTCCCTTTTAAAAAATGTGGCCCAGAGGCTATGAACTACAGTATTAGTGTAAAATCAAGTTTTAGTGAATACAGTGATTATATATCACAGTTTAGCCTCTTAAAAGCATTGACATACGTAAGCAAACATATCTGAAAAATAGAAATGCACTGGAGAGCATAAGACATATGGCTGTTGACTGGAAACAATTACCTTTGATAATAAATAATTCAAGTTGTTTTCCATGTGCAAGCAAATAGATCTATGGATTTTTTTCTTTTTCTGGAATAAATGGCAACAGCTAGCTAGCTTATGTATTCATGTTATCTGTGTACTGTTATGTATTGATTTGTTAGGGTATTTAACCACATTAATCTTACTGGTTTCCCCTGAGAATCTCAAATTCTTTTAAACCATTGTTATTTTGTTCTGTTCTGTTCTTGATCTGAATCTGTGCTGTTACACTGGGAATGAATTTGACCCACCGTGTTATTTAGTGCAGTGCTTAAAGACGGTGGTTCCTAATCTCTGGTATTCATACTAAGCACTGGAACTTTTGTGACTGCTGCACTGTGATCCCCCTCCAACTTTAGGTCCTGATCCTGCAAAGAAACGCACAAGCACAAACCCTTACTCCAGCAAGCAATCTCACTAGCCTCAAAGGGTATTTGCGGGGAGTAAGGGAGTCTGTGTGCTGCTCACTGCCTGTGAGCTGCTGTTGCAGCTCACCTATTTGATATAATTTAAATTTACCCTAGTGCCGGGTGCCCATACAAGACCTATCTGCCATTTACACCTTTCTGACTCTCTCCGCAGAGGCAAATTTCTGTGCCATGCAAGGGAGCCCTGTGTGGCCTTGCCCAATTCTTCCCCACCTGCAGCAGAAATGCACTAGTTCTTCTGCCAAGGGCCCCCTGACCTCACAGGGGAGGAGGCAGGATTGGCCCTATAGTAAAGTCAGATCCAGTGAAGTTGAGCTTCAAGCACTTTATTAGAAGGAGAGTTGGGGGGCTGGAGCACATGACTTATGAGGAGCGGCTGAGGGAACTGGGCTTGTTTAGTCTGCAGAGTGAGGGGGGATTTGATAGCAGCCTTCAACTACTTGAAGGGGGTTCCAAAGAGGATGAAGCTCGGCTGTTCTCAGTGGTGGCAGATGACAGAACAAGGAGCATTGGTCTCAAGTTGCAGTGGTGGAGGTCTAGGTTGGATATTAGGAAACACTATTTCACTAGGAGGGTGGTGAAGCACTGGAATGGGTTACCTAGGGAGGTGCTGGAATCTCCATCCTTAAAGGTTTTTAAGGCCTGGCTTGACAAAGCCCTGGCTGGAATGATTTAGTTGGTGTTGGTCCTGCTTTGAGCAGGGGGTTGGACAAGATGACCTCCTGAGGTCTCTTCCAACCCTAATTTTCTATGATTCTATGGGGCTATGAATCAGTGCTCCCCCATCTGGTAGTGAAAGGCACTTAAGTCTCTCTCTAGGTGAGTTATCTTGTCTGTCTCATTTGAACTGCTTTTTGAGGAGAAAAGACTCCTGGAATTTAGTTTCTTGTGGCCAGATTCTGAAAGTGTATAAATGATGGACTAGATTACACTTCAGTGTTAAGAAATGCAGTTCTTGGGTAGGGAATGAGAGGACATCGGATTTTTCTAGCAATCTATTTATGTCCTCCTCGTTATGGTTGTAGCACTCATTCACTCCAGCTTCCTTCACCCTTCAACTTATTTACTGTGTTGCAACTCTGCTGTAAATTGGTATAAACAATGTATTATGCTGAGGAGTCAGGAGAGTGGGATCAAAACTGGGAAACTAACTATTAGAAAGATGTAAAGATATAAAATAATGTACTGAGACCTCCTTTATCTCAGAGCTTATTTCTTCCTTTTGTTGGTTGCTTTTCCTGCCATCGGTCCTGTTGTTCTACCTTTTGCCATATAACTCACACCAGCTAACATTTACACAGACTTACCAGTGTTTGACTTACATCACCTCTAAATTTGACAGAGGATAATTTTCATGGTTTTTCACCTTGTAATTTGGTCTTCTGCAGCATGGCATTACATTCAAATGTGTTGAGGGGGAAAAGAATCTAACATGATTGGTTAGTAAACTGGCTAGAGGGCTACATCCACCTCTGATGTAAACTGCCATAGTTCCGTTGGCTTCACCACCATTGACTACACCCGTTTACATCAGCTGATGATCTGGCCTAAATTTTTTAAAGGCAAGGAAACATGCAAAGTATTCTTTTATAATTAAGCCTGAGTACTGATTCTGGTGACTTGCAGCACAGCTGATGGTCAGAGTTTGGAGGGTCAAAAATGTTTGTGCAGCGACTTGTCATGAAGAAAATAATCTGAATAAGGGAAGAGACTGTTGGTGCATAAAGGATTGTGAATAAGCATGTAAGCTTGGTTTTAATGTTTTTAGCACTCCCTCTAGTGGGTGGTTGTGTAACAGATACAGTAACTCCTCACTTAACATTGTAGTTATGTTCCTGAAAAATGCGACTTTAAGGTAAACGATGTTAAGCGAATCCAATTTCCCCATAAAAATTAATGTAAATGAGGGGGTTAGGTTCCAGGGAAATTTTTTCACCAGACAAAAGACTATATATATATATATATATAAAT